GTACACAACGGCTCGTGATCAGGTGACTTAAGACCTCACAGGGGACGGCATGCCGGTGCTCCAAGACCTCACGATCAAATACAGGTCCGCACTGAAATACTTGTCGGGAGGATACTTTATAAAACAAGGTAAATTTTTTTTTATTTTTACACACATATTTTGGTTTATCTTCCTTCTACAATCATTATCTGAAAATTAATGACTCAACTTCAAAGTCACCCTGTATATTATAAAAAAAGATACTTGTTGATAATAGTAGATTGTGTTTTACGCTACAAGCTAAAAGTATGAAACTATGTAAATTCCCACAGAAAAGCGCGAAAAAGGTGGTTGCTGGTTTGACAGTCCATGCAATATTGTTCAGAGACTATATTCCGATAACTATTTTTTACAGGTAAACACTTTATATTTAAGCTGGACAGCTCTACCTTGTCGGCCTTTTCTGCTCGAAGTGTGAGATTCTCCGAGTCCGGCTTCCTCAATAAACCCTCTCAATCGTTCCAATGCAATGCTTGCAGCATTTCGTCACGGTGGGTAGCTTGGATGTCTCTTCAAATTACTCACTTAATCGTCAATGCCGGTTAAGGTTAAAAATAGAAATGTGCTCTCCGTGAAACCTGGCTTTATTTTCCGGTTGATTTACTAAGCGCTGAGCGAACTGACATGCGAGACGCTGCTGAAATGATCGAGCATAGGAAGGAAACTGGGAAATGGTGCTGAATTTCAGAGAGACGAAAGTTGAGCTCCTAATGGACCTTATCGAAACGCAAATATTTAGAGGTCAACTATGCTTTATTGGAAGTAAACTTCAGAAGTCAGATGGATGTTTGATAACTTTCTTTGCTTATTAAATTTACATGTGGGATCTACTTTTGGTATTGAACAGCTCCTTAGGTCCAGGGCAATTAATTTAGTCTCAAGCTTTCTCCTGAGATCGAATGTGGATCGGTTAAAAATTAAATTCATATAAATCATCGGACATTGTTACTAAAGCCGAATAGTCATTTACTGTCTGTATTCAACAACATTCAGTCGAAGCTGAAGTCGAACGGTTAGTTAATGAAATACAGGGTGTCCGGAAAATAATAAGACTCATTTTTCTGTGTGAAACTCTGCAAATCTGCGACAGAGACATTTGATATGATCAATCAGGCTTACCCAGGTGTTGCTTTAGCAAGGAGTGGTGTGTTTCGGTGGCACGAGGCCTTTTTGGAGGACCGGGAAGAGGTCGCTGATGAAGACCTTTAACTTCGACAAACACCGATAATGTGACTCGTGTGTGCAAAGTTTTGAACTCAGATCATCGACTAAGTATTCGTTTAAATTGCCCAGATGTTAAATTTACCAAAATCTGTGGTTTATGACATTGTGATACAGCATTTGAACATGCGCAAGGGTGTGCGCGAAGATGGTCCCAAAAGTGCTCACTGACGACCAGAAATTGCGGCGAGTGGAAGTGTGCCAAGAAAATTTGAACATGTGTGAAAGTGACCCCCAATTTTTGAATAATGTAATCACAGGTGACGAGTGGTGGATCTTTGAGTATGATCCCAAGACAAAGAGGCAATCTTCCGAGTGGCACACGACGGCGTCTCCTCGCCCAAAAAAGGGAAGAATGAGCAAATCCAAAGTGAAAACAATGCTCATTGTCTTTTTGACATCAAAGGCATCGTCCACCATGAATTTGTTCCTCCTGGACAAACCGTCAATGCCAAGTTTTACGTGGAAGTGCTCAGGAGACTCAAACGAAGGATCATTGGGTTCCGATAAGACATCGCAGCCCAGATGTGGCCCCCCGGACTTTTTTGTTTCCTCGCCTGAAAAGGTTGATAAAAAGCAAGCATTTTGAGACGACAGAGGGAATCCAAGCAGCATGCACCGCGGCTCTCAAGGCTATTCCGGAGAATGCCTTCCGTGGCGCCTTCAATGCTTGGAAATCGCGCTGGCAGCGCTGCATCGACGCAGAAGGAGCCTATTTTGAAAGTTTTAAAGAATTGTAACGATTGGCTGGATAAATTTTTTAAATCGACTCCGTACTATTAATTTCCGGAAAAACCCTGTATGTGGTCAAATAACGGCATTTTTAAGTTTCATCCTTAGATTTAATGCGAAAACTGGACAAAATCTTATGACAATTTGAAGAGTAGAAGACGCATTGGCTAAAACTACCAATACCATACATCGTATCCTCGAAAATGGGAGGAGTTGCGACGTCACTCAATTAAATACGGCTTCACATCCACCATTTATCAGAAAACGGTATCTACATTTTTTTATAATAAATAGATAATCGGAAATAAGCCCATAATTTCTTATACTGTCATTTTTTTCTGACGCATGTATCGTTGTGGTAATAAAAGCAAGTTGACCCTAAACTGACTGTAGGCAAATTCTAAATTTTCCAAAAATGAAAGGAGATGCGACGTCATTCAATCAGAGAAGGCTTCACATCCATCATTTATCAAAAAACGGTATCTAAAATTCTTTATAATATACAGGGTGTCCGCAAAGTTGGGGTTGTCCTTTCAGAAACAACTACCCTTGAAATAACAAAGGTAATGTGTAGTGAAACGAGGGCGACCAAGTAAAAAAAAATAAAGGAAAAAGTACTCACTCTCCAGTTGACGAGAAGGGCTAAGTACGTCTCTGTCCGAAATCATACCGCTCCAACAGAAAATGAAATCAGCTGATGCGCTACCGAGCAGACGCAGGCGGTGGTGCAGACCACGAACAGAGGTAACAAATATGCCGCGTTTTCAGTTTTTAGGTAAACGTACTTCATAGGTATTGTTCGAAGTTATTGCCGTTTGATTCAAAAACACAGGTGCGCGTCTAAAATGGGGCGGTGCACCATCGTGCAGAAACCACATTGATGGTCTTACACTTAATGGCACATCTTCTAACAAGGAAGGTAAAATGTTGCGTAAAAAGTCTAGGTATTGCATCCCGTCCAATCGATTTGGGGAGAATAAATGGTCCAATGAGCATACCGTTCACCATGCCAGCCCAAACATTCACCGAAAATGTTTGTTGAAAATGTGCCCGACGGACAGAGTGTGGATTTTCTACTGACCAAACATGAGTGTTGCGAAAGTTATTCACCCCATTACGCGTGAACGTAGATTCGTCTGTCACCAATATGCAGTTCAAAAAGTCCGGATTATTGTCATGTTGATGCAACAACCACTCACAAAACCGCACTCTTGCTGGAAAATCGTCAGGTGGAAGCGCTTGTACACGTTGGACGTGAAACGGATACAGCCCCTCTTCACGCAGCGTTTGCCACACTTTAGTTTTTGATACTTGCACTTCTCTAGCCACGTCTCTAGTGCTTGTTGAGGGATTCTCGTCTACGCGATTCAGTAGTTCTTCCTCAACTTGTACCATTCGCGGTTGTCTAGGCCTCCCACTGTGCCCGCCTCGAAATTCCTCCAAATGGCCCGTATCCCTGACTCTCTGGACCAGGTACACAAAATCTGCGGGGCCTTGGATGATGTCGTCTAGGGAAACGATCTGCATACACTCGCAAAGCCTCTGTAGCATTTTGAAGACATTCGCCATAAATTAACAACATATGAACGAGTTCATTATTGGTGTATGAGTGTGCCATTACTATTATTTTCTTTGAAACGCAATCGATTATACGGGTTCGTTTACCTCTACACGCGTGACCGTAACCGTCGGTTGAAGGTTGCATACTGACCTGACACACTGACCCCGGCCCAGTTCTGTCGTCGGGTTGAGCCAGTGACCTTGTACCACTCGGTGATGTCGCGGGTCGCGGCTACAGGACGGTATTCAGATATTTTTGATGTTGCAGAACCCTTTATCTCGGTTCCCTTAAGACATTGGTGTATATGGTACTAAGAAAAATTGCTTATGTTTTCAAGATCTACACGTCGTGTAAAGGAAAACCCCAACTTTGCGGACACCCTGTATAGGTTTTCCAAAATAAGCCGATTAACACCGTCATTTTTTTCTGATGCATGTGCCGTTGTGGTAATAAAATCAAGTTGACAATAAACTGACTGAAGGTGACATTCAAGGTTGTATCCAAAAAATATCTTATATAGAAAAATGCATATCTTAACTATTGCTGTAACCGTTGTGAATGATATCTTTTGATTACAGATGCATACCGTGTCCGCAAGACTGCCAGGACTGCGAACCGACAGGGATTTGCACCACAGAGAGGGGCGTTTACTTGAAGACTGTTATACTATGTATCCAACTAGCTTGTATGGTATCCACCGTTATACTGGCACTCATTGTTTTCAGACAGAGGAAAACAAAGGTTAGTTATTTAAGTTAAAATACATATGCTGTATTGGTGATGCATATACAAGGTGTTATTTAAGTACGTGGACAAGCTTCAGGAGGTGATTCTATGGTGATGAAAAGTTAATATCAGCCTATAGTGTATTTACACCCAAAATAGAATGGATGCGTGATTGCCAAAAGCAATGACGGCGTACAGGGCCGCATTCAGGGCTACCTCCGAATGATGGACTACCACCAACGTGTTGTAAAACAAAGATGAGAGTATTTAACGAAATTATCTAATATAGTGAAGTAGTTATAGTTAAGGGTGTCGCAAAATCAAATTTTTATTCTTGAAGGGGTGCTAAGTTTTTCTACAGATTTTTCAAACTAGACAACATGAAGAAATACATACCAGAGGTAACCAGCTGCTCACTATTCACAATGATTCCGTAGTCAACGAGGGGTAGAGATGACACTTTTGTACATGGAAAAATATAATATTTCACTATAACTAGGATTCCCATAATATGTATTCTGTGATAAAGCAAAAACGTGAAACTTACTCAGACTCACTTGAAGAGCTATCGTCATTAAAGTTTATGATGATGGATTCAAAATCTCTCTCAATTATGTTGTCCAGCTCCCACATTGCTACCTCCACTTTCTCCTGAAAATGCTGCACACATTTTTGCCATCTTTGTGACCCTCTGTGTAGCAGCAATTCTGAACAGCTCTTGCATGTCAGAAAATTGAAATGTTGTATTGTGTGCAGCAACAAAATTCTTAACATCTGCCCATATGAGCTCAATGGGGTTGAGGTCACAGTGGTAAGGCGGCAAACGGAGTACTGTTTTGAGGTGTGCTTTGGCCATTTCATCTATGACATATTTATCATGTATTGGTCTGTGTTGTTTCACAATATCTAATAGGTGTAATTTCAGTAAGGAAGAGTCGAAAGTTATATTTTTGGAACGGAGCCAGCTCTGAATGTCTGATTTCCTAGAAGCTGAAGTTGGGATTTTTTCCATTTTGCGAGAATGATAGGGAGCATTATCCAAAACAACCACAGAATTGTCTTCGAGACGTGGTAAAATGCCTGAAAACCACTTCTTGAATGCTTCCGCATTCCTCTCTTCATGGTAGTCAGTGGTTTTTTTGACTCAAAAGACCATAAGCCGTCATCCGTTAAGTACACATGCACGTCTTGTAGACACGAAGATAGAGAGATACTGTGCGCAAAAATTGATACCGCGAACTATTTCGATCTATTTTTCAGCTGGATTTTTCAATCCGGTTAACGGTCCATCTAGAAATGCCCTTCAGGGTGAAGTCACAGTTTTGTCAACCCATACCTTCGGAGTAGTGTGCCCAGCGTTAATCCAGGTTTCGTCCACGTAATAGATCTTCCTGTGCTGTTCCCTGAATGATTTAATTTTGGTCAGGTACTCTCTCCTCCACAGAACAATTTCTTCTCTATCCATAAGTAAGCTGTTACGACCTCGTTTCTTCCATTCGAAATTAAGATGCTTCAAAAGTTTATGAATAGTCCAACGTTTGAAATTTGGCAACATAGCATCCTCGTTAACCTCCCGTAGTACTTTATCAACTGTCGGTATTTCGTTTCTGAAGAAGAACTCGTACACTTTCCGCCGAATCGCATGCTTGTCAGCGTCATCCAACGATCTTATGATACTTTTGCGATTTTTACCCGTCATTGGCTTGGAAAAGGCATGCTTTTTCTTATGTTCGTTCAAAACATTGTACACTGTCGCTTGGCATACCCCAATTTTATCTGCCACTTTCAGAGCTATTTTCGGGTTAGTTGATGTTTCGTCTTCCTTCCGTTATATCTTGAATATATTCAATATGACGTCTTTCATGTCTACGCTAAGATGTCTTTTTTATCGCTTTATAGGAGGGCTGAGGAAGTAGCCTACAGCCTCGTCAGCAGTATCTGTACTGGACATGTTCAGGATTGATTCAAAACAAATAATAACGAGGAATAACAATAACAAACAGAAACTTAACAAATTACTCAAATACACTTAACAACAACAACAGCAACAACCAAGCAAGGTGAATATGAACACACGAGCACGCAGTGATACACGCGACGGTCGGTGGCCTGAATGCAACTCTGCCTGCCCTGCCCCTACCCCGCGCATTATTCCGTCAGGCGACCGCTTCAAATTTAATGGCGAATTGACCAATAAGAGGCGCTGTCCCCACCTGTTACCGAGAGATCACACGCTAACTGTTATTATTTACATCTCATCTTGAATTTGGATTCAGTTTAGGTCCAAAAATGCTTCATTTTCAACGTTTTTGCTAAATATCTTAATTAACCTTCAGTCGATTTTGTTGAAATTTAGCAGTGATATCAAGGGTAGTAAGGGGCTAACTCAGCTCCAATTAGATTGAAATTATTAAGTCCGGTGGGGCCTCTAACCAATATCTTTAAAAAATTTGTGCGCCACTACTTTTTTCAATTTTTCAATTTTGTTTTTTTAATAAAGTAGCTGAAAATACAACTTTTTAGTTGCTTGAGTCTCTTTCAGATCTCGCTTCGTTTGCGAGATAAAAAATAGAAAGCGCCTAAGTGTTACTTTCAAAACATTCTTGTTATAAATTATTACGTTGTGCGATTGTCTTATGTTATTTTGTTTTATTGAAATTAGTTTTAAATATGCGCGGACAAATTCAAGAGATGACTGTCGTCTAATGTTGATCGCTTAAATAGGTTTTTGGTTTTAATGTTTTATTATGTTGTTCCAGGACATGCGATAAAGTACTTTTTATTTTTCACATCGCAAGCGAGGCGAGATATGAAAGAAACTCACGAGGCAAAAAAGGTGTATTTTCTGCTGCTCAATTTGAAAAAAACTGAAAAATGGAAAACAGTCAGTGACGCACAATTTTTTTGTTAAAGAGATTAGAATGTTTTCTGAGGCGCCACTGGATTTAATAATTTCAATCTAATTGAGGCTGAATTACCGATTTTTAAAAAGAAGTATATATATGAAATTTTCATCTTAAAATTACTCAAAGAGTCACCTCCAAATTTGGCCACGTAGTTAAATAACACTCTGTCTGGCAAATTATATTTATTTACTAAACTTAAAGTATATTGAGCATTTTCAGGTGTATCTACAGTATATTCAGATAAGAGATAGACCGGACATAAACAAGACAACGTGATCATCGAACGCTGTAACATTCGGCAGGGACGTATTAAGAGTCACGCAGTACATATTTTAGATAGTAGATGCTGCTTTGCGTAACTTTGTAGTAAATTAGCACAATTCTATGTGTATACGATTGGTGATGGATATAGGATCATGTGGGGGTGGGGTAAGAAATATATAATGATGTAAATATACATAAGGGTTTCAAAATTTTCGCTTCGATTTCCAGCTTTGGATGCCGCCTGATGTTTGGTGAAATACAGTCGAATATAATCTCAAAATGGCGTTTAAATTAGCCTAAATTAAAAATAATCGTATATCTCTTGAAATTGCTTTTAGAATATTGATTAGTATATTTTTTGATTTCTAGGTAAATATGTTACCAAATTAAAACGTTCAAAACATAAAAAAATGTGCATGGTTGAACATTGTCAGAATAGGTTTTGCCAAAATGGGTTCAAAAATGTCAATAATTAATTAAAAAATACAGTAGCTTTATAATTACTTATAACTTACCGAATTTGATGAACGACATCTTTTATTGGAAAGATGAGCTTGATGAGCTTTCATCATCGCTACTGCCTGAAGCACCAACGTCAATAATGAATGGCTCGACTTGTTCCTCTAAAATATTGTCCAGTTCCCACATTCTCTTTTCAACTTTGTCTTTCACGTGTTTAATACAGTTTTCCCATGTTTGCGCTGTTATTAATTCTAGTGCTTCTTTGAAAAGTCCTTTGAGGTCACAAAATTTAAAAGTTGTATTGTGCTTAGCTATATAATTTTTAACCTCTGCCCATATGAGCTCAATGGGATTGAGCTCGCAATGGTATGGAGGTAAACGGAGCACAGTTTTATTTTGACTTGCTGCCATTTCATCAATGGCGTATTTTTGATATTCCGCCTTGTGATCCTTGACAATTCTTAATAATTGTACTTTCAGCATTGCTTCTTCAAAGTTAATATTTTTCGAGCGGAGCCAATTTTGAACAACAACTTTCCTTGAAGCCGTTGTTGGGACCTTTTCCATTCTTCGAGAATGATAAGGCGCATTATCCAACACAATTACTGCGTTTTCCTCTAAGTTCGGTAAAATTTTTGAAAACCACTGTTCAAACGATTCGCCATTCATTTCCTCGTGGTAATCTCCAGTTTTCTTAGACTCAAAGCACCACAGACCGTCAACAACAAATCCATCCTCACTGCCAATATGGCAGATAATGAGCCTTTTCCCTTTACCTGGAAATCGAAGTACTAACTGGTGAAGATTTATTTCAATAAGCGAACCTTTTTCAAATGTTTTCATCACATTCAGCGAAAAAACATTGAGACATGAGTATCAGATTGCTATAATTGGGATTATTTAGTCATATTGAAAGAAAGAATATTGAACGTCGTATGATTACTCAGCGCTTCACAATTTAATTTAAAGTTATAAACCTTTAAAAAATGAATGATCAGGAACCTGAAATACGCGCAAATATTAATATTAACAAATTATAACTTTATAAAGCTTAAAGTATGAATTAAAATGATTAGAAATATTAGGAACGGTACACAATATAAAACTTAGTAACTTTTTTTAAGTTTATAATATTCGACATATTTTAAGATTATATTAAAAAATTATTGAAATATCGAAAACACATAAAAACATGGCTTAAAAAAGTTCTAACAAATGAAAATGACAATAAAACATCCACGCATTTTATCGAAAGTTATAAAAGTTTTGTTACTTGTAATATGTTTTATCTGCCCCCTGGAATTAATGTTTAGAACCTTTTTCCCAAGGTTTGAAAAACATCCGATTGTTGTCTATTACTCGTATTTACGTGCTGGATTTTTTAATCCGGTGGACAGTCCATCTAGAAAGGCCCTCCTGGATGAAGTTACAGAATCATCAACCCATACTTTACTTGTAGTGTGTCCTGCGTTTACCCACGTTTCATCAAGGTAATAAATATTCCTGTTTTGATTTCTACATTTCCCAATTTTTGTTAAATAATCCCTCCTCCGTAGCACAATTTCTTCTCTATCCAGTAGTAAACTATTACGACCCCGTTTTTTCCATTTGAAATTTAAATGCTTCAGTAACGCATGGAAAGTTGATCGTTTGAAATTTGGCAACGTTGTATCTCCATTTACCTCCTGCAGTACTTTATCTATAGTAGGTATTTCATTCCTAAAGAAGAATTCATGCACTTTCCTCCTAATCGCATGCTTATGAGCTTCATCCAATGATTTAACAATACTTTTGCGATGTTTACTGCTCATTGGCTCAGAAAAGGTGTGATTTTTTTTGTTTTGTCTTAACACATTAAACACTGATGCGCGACACACCCCAACTTTGTGAGAAACCTTCACAACAATTTCTTTGATGGTTGATGCCTCGTTCTCCTCGCGCTCGATCTTATATATATTCAAAATGACCTCTTTCATTTCTGCACTCAGGTGTCTTTTTTTAGAGCGTTTCCTAGGTGGACTACAGGAGTTTACAACTTCATCGGCAGTATCTGTACTACTGGGCATTTTGCGCAAGCAGTTGATAACAATAACAATCAATAACAAGGTATAACAATAACAACGACAAACTCAACAACTTAATAAGATAACAAACGAAAATCAAATTGCAATGATGCACACGACATACGTAACACGTCTGAACCTGAATGTGACTCTGCCTTGATACGACTGCTCTGCCGCTCGGCATAGGCATTTAATTGCGAATTGACCAATGGGGGCTCCTGTTTTACGTCGAGACGGCGGCGTTAGTGTGAAAATCACCCGAACCTTTTTGTTTACATCCGGTCTATCTCTTATCTGAATATACTGTACTAAATTTTTATTTACAATCCACCATCATGTTGATTCTGTAGAAGAAGTTAATTCGGCGTAAAGAAAAAGGAAGTTCATCGCGATGTTTAGAAAATACAAAGGCTATATCACTGACTCTGGAGGTTTAAGGGAGAAGAAATCCAAAACGGATTATAAATAGGATTGTAGATGTACCTAAAGATATTCAATATACAGGGTGTTCCAAAAATAAACGGAGATACTTTAGAGGGAAGAATATGAAAAAAAAGTCTATAAGCATGGGTCCGGAAATTTTACATTGTGATAAATTTAAATAAAAATATTCTGCGTACAGGCGCCTCGCTGCATAACAGTTACTATAATACGTACATACATTACATGCATGTCTGCCATTTCCTCAAAAGTGTAATTTTTTATCACAAAAACCGAGACAAAAACTTTTTAGAGAAATTTCGCAATGAAACTTACGTGAATATGTTTTTTCTGGCAGAACTGACGCGCAAATGTCAAACCTCGATGCAGAAATGATTTTTCGTTTTCCAAAGCATTTGTGATTTTTTTAGTTAAAATCAAACCAATTCAGCCCAGTGACATGCAATAAAACGGTTTTTATTTTTTTCTCGAAAACGGAGTGAGAGACGAAAAAAAATACAAGTGGCATAGATGCTCAATCTGTTGAAGTTACAAAAAAGGCAGTGGTGTACATTTTTTTGCCAATAATAATGACAAAAATTAAGGTACATCATACATTGCAAATTATACCTAATTCTGATCATCGTAACAAGTTGTGTTCTCTATTTCAGGCTATCGCATCCGCCATGTGGACCATTTTAGAGACCATCCTCCTAGGTATTTTCATTCTTCATGCAACAGTAAGTACTTTTATCTATTTTACTTAATTCCGAGTATCATTGTATTAGTAACAAGGTAGAACGAAATCAGAAAACTGTCAGAACTGCCGCTAGCTTTTCATGTTCTTCTTCTAAGGACTTTGTGAATACCCGTAATAGCGTGAATTCGGTTTACCGGTTAGTAGATGGAAAAACAAATTAACATATATTTACTCAAGCAAACACTTTTGTTTTAACTAACAAATTCTGGGAAGTGATTGAATAACTCCATCTACGACTCCGTGAATGCGGCTGAAGTTCTGCATAAATTAAAACTGTTACTGTAGCCGTTACTTGTTTGCAGTACGAAAGTTTCAAATATTATAAAACTCAACCTCTCAACTAAATTTTCAGCATAAAAAAATGTTTGTCTTTCTAGAGTGACTTTGCTGCTTCAATATTGAAACTTGACCAACCATTAATTTTTACGCGCCTTTTTATCGACTAATACTGATGAAAATCGATTGATGACCTGTTGATAATCTTAACGTATAATTGGTCCTCGTCAATCGTCAGATTACATTGTGGTTATAGAGTAGCTAAAGAGCTTCTGCACCGGGATGTTCATGCAGTGTTTCTGCGTTCCAGAGCTCCTTTCCAGTAACCGAGATAGGTTGCTCAGAGTATCACGGAGTAACTCAGTAGTGCTCAGCACCAAAAGCGTTCCACTGCACGTTGCATTCCGACCCGTTGTTTCTAGAACATTTATGGACCCAAAGACCACGAGAAATCAGCCCCGCCCCTACTCTTGATCTTGTCATTAACAAAACGTATAAGGTACCTGTACCAAATAAGGCCATGCGTCGATTTTACAGACACTAGTTACATCTAGAATTAAAGATTTCTACAGTTCTATACATTCATTGAGATGAGTTAGCACCCATAAATGTAGCAGGTGTGGAGCGGCGCTAGACGGCGCACTTGGCCAGTGTCGATTTTCAACATGTGCCTTTAAATTTGTCTTCGATTTTTCATGTTGTCTGCTTCTTTTCGCGAAATCTGTTGTCAGTTCAATCAGGTAAGTCTATAGAACATATACAGCTAGTTATTTGTCGTCGCCAGGTTTTAAATATTTTGTATTTTATAAATTGTATGTTTTAAGGTTATATGTGCCTAATAAGGCCATGATAAAAGGGCGCTGTGGTCAACCGAAGCGCTTGTACAATCACTCTATAGTATAAACAGTGGAACGTCGGTAAATCGTGCATCCAAAGAATGTCAAATTCCACGAAGAGCACTTCGCAATCATGTTCGTACAGGTGTGCGAGAAAGAAAACTTGGTACTCGTACAATTTTGTCTAGAGAGCAGGAAGATGAACTGTGCTCAAGGATAATCTGATTATCGGATACAGGAATGCCCCTTACACCAAAGATTTTGCGAAAATCCGTCTTTTCCTATGTTAATGACAAAAAAATTCGTCACACATGCAATGAAAATAGTGAAATGGCAGGTAGAAAATGGTTGAAGTTGTTTTTGGACAGACATGAAAATATTCGCCAAAGGAAAGCACAGGTTTTAAATCCAGCTAGGGCACAGAAAGTAAATAAGTACATTGTGAATGACTACTTCAAAAAACTAGAAAGTTTGCTGATTAGACTAAACCTAATCAATCAGCCCCATCGTATCTACAATGTAGATGAGAAGGGGTGCAGACTCACCATCCACCGCCAACCAAATGTGTTGGCGAGGAAAGGTGAAAGACGTGTTCACTATGTAGATAATGAGCACGCAGAAAATTCCACAATAGTTGCATGTGGAAATGCTATTGGACAGGCAATACCACCAATGGTCCTGTTCAAGGGAAAACGTGAAAAGGATGAATGGGGTGACAATATGCCAACCAGAACAGTAATTGAAATGACCCAAAAAGGAAGTATGACGGCAGCAGTGTTTGTTAAATGGCTAGATCATCTAGCAAACTATAAGCCACCAGGAGATATTCTTCTCGTTTTTGATGGTGCCTCTTCTCATTTGGATGCAACTATTGTTGACGCCGCCGAAAAACATCACATCACTTTATTGTGTCTTCCGAGTAACACGACGCACGTGCTGCAACCGCTGGATAAATGTGTTTTCCGCGGTTTCGAATATCATTGGGAAAATGAAATACTTAACCATTACAAGCGGTATCCTGGCAGGAAGTTGAATCGTGCAAGATTTGGAGAAATTTTGAGGAAAGTGTATCCAAGGGCCATCTTCAGTCAGGATTTCGCGCAACAGGAATATACCCACACGACCCAGCTGCGATCCCGGAGACTGCATTTACACCTAGTTTGATGTCAGAGAGGCCCGATTCAAATACGGCAGCTACAGATGTTCAGGAGGAGAATGACGAAAACCATGATGTCAGCTTTACAGAATCTGATGACATACCCCTTGCACTACTGATGGCCAACGGAACTTCAATGTTACAGATAACAGCTACTTCTAATGAAAAAGAAATAAACTCGACTCAACAGTTTGCAGTTCTTGAAACAACAAATCTTGTGACTGGTCAAACAGACAGTGATCAATTGGATCTAAGTTTCAGGGAAGTACTTCGCACACCCGAATGGAAGGCCAACGCCACGAAAAGACGAAAAGCCATCAATTCTGCTGCGCAAATCGTCGTAAGAGATTTGCTTAAAGACCCAAATCCAGGTCCATCCGGCTTAGATAAAACAATAAAAAAATCTAGTGAGCCTGGAACCATGAAAAGCAAAAGGTCCCGAAAGAATAAAGACGAAAACTGGTACTGTTTCATATGCGATAAGGATGAAGTACGTGACATGCGTCTGTGTGTAGTATGCTTAAGATATGTCCATGAGGAATGTGTACAGTATATTCAGATAAGAGATAGACCGGATGTAAACAAAAGGTTCGGGTGATTTTCACGCTAACGCCGCCGTCTCGACGTAAAACAGGAGCCCTCATTGGTCAATTCGCAATTAAATGCCTATGCCGAGCGGCAGAGCAGTCGTATCAAGGCAGAGTCACATTCAGGTTCAGACGTGTTACGTATGTCGTGTGCATCATTGCAATTTGATATTTCTTTGGACGTTTTCGTTTGTTATCTTATTAAGTTGTTGAGTTTGTCGTTCTTATTGTTATACCTTGTTATTGATTGTTATTGTTATCAACTGCTTGCGCAAAATGCCCAGTAGTACAGATACTGCCGATGAAGTTGTAAACTCCTGTAGTCCACCTAGGAAACGCTCTAAAAAAAGACACCTGAGTGCAGAAATGAAAGAGGTCATTTTGAATATATATAAGATCGAGCGCGAGGAGGACGAGGCATCAACCATCAAAGAAATTGTTGTGAAGGTTTCTCACAAAGTTGGGGTGTGTCGCGCATCAGTGTTTAATGTGTTAAGACAATACAAAAAAAATCACACCTTTTCTGAGCCAATGACCAGTAAACATCGCAAAAGTATTGTTAAATCATTGGATGAAGCTGATAAGCATGCGATTAGGAGGAAAGTGCACGAATTCTTCTTTAGGAATGAAATACCTACTATAGATAAAGTACTGCAGGAGGTAAATGGAGATACAACGTTGCCAAATTTCAAACGATCAACTTTCCATGCGTTACCGAAGCATTTAAATTTCAAATGGAAAAAACGGGGTCGTAATAGTTTACTACTGGATAGAGAAGAAATTGTGCTATGGAGGAGGGATTATTTAACAAAAATTGGGAAATATAGAAATCAAAACAGGAAAATTTATTACCTTGATGAAACATGGGTAAACGCAGGTCACACTACAAGTAAAGTATGGGTTGATGATTCTGTAACTTCATCCAGGAGGGCCTTTCTAGATGGACTGTCCACCGGATTAAAAAATCCAGCAGGTAAATACGAGTAATAGACAACAATCGGATGTTTTTCAAACCTTGGGAACAAGGTTCTAAACATTAATTCCAGGGGGCAGATAAAACATATTACAAGTAACAAAACTTTTATAACTTTCGATAAAATGCGTGGATGTTTTATTGTCATTTTCATTTGTTAGAACTTTTTTAAGCCATGTTTTTATGTGTTTTCGATATTTCAATAATTTTTTAATATCATCTTAAAATATGTCGAATATTATAAACTTAAAAAAAGTTACTAAGTTTTATATTGTGTACCGTTCCTAATATTTCTAATCATTTTAATTCATACTTTAAGCTTTATAAAGTTATAATTTGTTAATATTAATATTTGCGCGTATTTCAGGTTCCTGATCATTCATTTTTTAGAGGTTTATAACTTTAAATTAATTTGTGAAGCGCTGAGTAATCATACGACGTTCAATATTCTTTCTTTCAATATGACTAAATAATCCCAATTATAGCAATCTGATACTCATGTCTCAATGTTTTTTCGCTGAATGTGATGAAAACATTTGAAAAAGGTTCGCTTATTGAAATAAATCTACACCAGTTAGTACTTCGATTTCCAGGTAAAGGGAAAAGGTTCATTATCTGCCATATTGGCAGTGAGGATGGATTTGTTGTTGACAGTCTGTGGTGCTTTGAGTCTAAGAAAACTGGAGATTACCACGAGGAAATGAATGGCGAATCGTTTGAACAGTGGTTTTCAAAAATTTTACCGAACTTAGAGGAAAACGCAGTAATTGTGTTGGATAATGCGCCTTATCATTCTCGAAGAATGGAGAAGGTCCCAACAACGGCTTCAAGGAAAGTTGATGTTCAAAATTGGCTCCGCTCGAAAAATATCAACTTTGAAGAAGCAATGCTGAAAGTACAATTATTAAGAATTGTCAAGGATCACAAGGCGGAATATCGAAAATACGCCATTGACGAAATGGCAGCAAGTCTAAATAAAACTGTGCTCCGTTTACCTCCATACCATTGCGAGCTCAATCCCATTGAGCTCATATGGGCAGAGGTTAAAAATTATATAGCTAAGCACAATACAACTTTTAAATTTTGTGACCTCAAAGGACTTTTTAAAGAAGCACTAGAATTAATAACAGCGCAAAAATGGGAAAACTGTAT